AACACGAAAATCATACCCAACACAAGCAAGCTTCAAGGAAAAAAAGAGGCTTGAGCTAGTACCGGGGACCTTTGTGGTCCTATTTCACCACCCACACCTGCTGGTAACCGATATTTTATGTTGTTAGTTGTTGATTTTACTCGAGTAATGTGGGTATATATGATGAAGACTAAGGATGAAGCCTTCAGTGTTTTCAAAAAGTTTCGGATATCTGTTGAAACAGAAATAGGTGAAAGGTTAAAGACTTTCTGAACAGATCATGGTGGTGAATTTCTGTCAAAACAATTAACCACGTATTGTGAAGAAACCGGTCTAAACCGACACTACACAACACCATATTCCCCACATCAAAACGGAGTGGTGGAGAGACGAAATCACACTATTGTAGAGATGGCAAGAAGTATACTCAAGAGTATGCATGTACTAGAAATGTTATGGGGAGAGGCTGTACATCATGTTGTTTATGTTCTGAATCGGGTGACCACAAAAGCCTTAAAAGATGCAACACCTTATGAAATGTGGACTGGAAGAAAGCCACAAGTTGATCACTTAAGAGTGTTTGGATGTAAGGCTCATGCAAGAGCAACAGGAAGTCATCTTAAGAAACTTGATGATCGAAGCAAACGTTTGGTGCACCTAGAATGCGAGACATGAACGAAAGCATATAGGTTATTTGATCCAGACATAGGGAAAATATGCATCAGTAGGGATGTGTATTTTGAAGAAGATAAAGCTTGGTCATGGGAAAAGTCAACTTTGTTAAAATGTAGACCAGGAGCAACTTTTATAATTGAAGGCTACTCTCCAGAAGATAACTATGAAGATGTGAGCAACCAGGAACATGAAATCTGGATGCAAAGTCTTACACCAGAACAAACCCAACAGACAAGTGCACAAACCTCTACACTTACACCCTCAAGTTCGACCACTTCAGATACTTCTGCAAGTACTGAATCAGACTCGACAGGTGGAGGAGCCCCGAAACGGTATCGTTTATTGGATGATATTTATGATGAGTGTGATGAACTTTTATTCATGCATGATAATGAGGATCCTTTGTCATACTCCATGGCTAGTGAGAATGTTGATTGGGTAAATGCAATGAGAAGTGAACTGGAAGCCATTGAAAGAAATAAAACTTGGAATCTGGTTGAACTCCCACCAGGTAAAAAACCTATTGGTCTCAAGTTGGTTTACAAACTGAAAAACGATCCAAAAGGAAATATTTTGAAGCACAAGGCGAGGTTGGTAGCAAAGGGCTATGTTCAGAAACCAGGGATAGATTTTGATGAAGTCTTCGCACCTGTTGCACGACTTGAAACAGTACGTATTTTGCTTGCTCTTACAGGTAAAAACAGATGGATTGTGCACCACTTTGATGTAAAATCTGCATTTCTAAATGGTGATTTGGAAGAAGAAGTGTATGTCACTCAACCAGAAGGGTTTGTAAATAATAATGAACCAGGAAAAGTATACAAGTTTGTCAAAAGCTTTGTATGGGTTTCGTCAAGCTCCTAGAGCTTGGAACTCTCGTCTAGACAAATGTCTGAAAATTTTGGGATTTACAAGATGCCCACAAGAGTATGCAGTTTACACAAGAAAGAAGAGTGGTAAGTTCTTAATAGTTGGGGTGTATGTTGATGATCTGATTGTTACAGGAAGTTGTAGTAATGAGGTGAAACTCTTCAAAGAACAAATGCAACAGGAGTTTGAAATGAGTGACCTTGGCTCATTGTCATACTACCTGGGTATTGAAGTGGGTCAAAAAAAGATGGTATTACTCTAAAGCAAACAACTTATGCGAAAAAAATCCTAGAAAAGACAGGCATGGCTAAGTGCAACTCATGTAAATATCCAATGGAACCCAAGTTAGAGCTAAAGAAAGACGAAGAGGGAGACCCGGTAAATCCCACCGAGTATAGAAGCATCATTGGAGGTCTGAGATATCTCACACACACTCGACCTGACATCTCTTATGTTGTTGGGATTGTAAGTCGATTCATGGAGAGACCCACAGTCAAGCATCAACAAGCAGTGAAAACATATTTTGAGATATATCAAAGGAACCATTGACTATGGATTAAAGTACACCAGGAGGAATGAATTGTAACCGGGTACACTGATTGTGATCTTGCAAGGGACGTAAATGATAGACGCAGCACATCAGGAATGACATTTTATCTTAATGAAAATCTGGTTACTTGGGCGTCGCAAAAACATAGGAGTGTAGCTCTTTCCTCATGCGAAGCAGAATTCATGGCGTCGATAATTGCAACGTGCCAAGGGATATGGATGTGTCAGTTGCTTAGTGAGTTAACAGGAAAGAAAGTTAGTCCAGTGGTGCTGCATGTTGACAACAAATCAGCCATAGATCTGATAAAAAACCCAGTGTTTCATCGGAGAAGCAAACACATAGACACAAGGTTTCATTTCATACGTGAGTGTGTCGAGAATGGAGATATACAAGTCATGCATGTGAGCAGCAAGGAACAGAAGGCAGATATTCTCATAAAATCCATGGCAAGCAAAAAGTTTGAAGAAATGCGTAAGTTATTAGGGGTGAAGCAAATAAAAATTATGGATTAAAGGGGAAAATATTATTATAATCCATAATATTTATTATATAAGAAAAGAAGAAGCAAGTGGTAAGTACGTGAGTTCCTTTCTTAGGGCTATCAACATTTATGCACAAGTCTTTTCTTTTGTTTTAATCAAGTTCGTCAAGCCACCTTTACCATTTATGTATGTTTAATTGTTGTAGTTGAAAAAGTCAGAAGTAGTTGTCTAGTTTAAATGTTTGTTCTCTTTGTATTAGGCCGAGTGGTATACTTACCACGAGGCTGTTCATGGTTGAGCTGGCCACGAACAACGGGCGTGCACACTACCCCGTTGTTTCGTGGTTGCTCGTTTTCGTTTACTCTCGTGTTCGACACAACGGACTCGCACAACCAATGAAATCGAAGCCTTTTTTTGACCGTTTTCTATAGCCGTTCAACGGCTAGTTTGTTTAAAAAAAATTAACCAATTTATTTACCTATAAATACAACACTTTTACTCCTTATTTTTTACACCATTCTTTTCTTTCTCTATACACAAACTACACACTACATCTTCACAACCAAAAACCATGGATCCCAACCAAAATACCCCTCCAAACTACAGAAATCGCAAACCCGATAACACTTTTGCGTTAAATACAACACCTCGCCAATTCCCGACTATGGAGTCACTTCAAGGCGGTTTTATCAATCTACTTCAAACCGGTTCTCCTATCCAACAAACACCACTTTTCCAACAACAAATATCAACCTTTTCCGTCTTTCCAACAACAACAAATTTCACAACAATACCAAGAATTTCAACAATTCCAACAACTACAATAACTCCAACAACAATCGTCACAACAACAACAACCACCAATTTCACAACCACCAAGCTCACAACCACCACTTTCTCCGGATTTTGTTGCGGAAACGCAACCTTCACCACCACCTCAACCAAAAAAGAAAAAAGGAAAAAAACCGACCCGACCCACTACTACCCAAGAAAGGGTCCCATGGACAAAAGAAGAAGAAGAAAAGTTAGCGAAGGCATGGGTGGCGGCTTCCGAAGATCCAATTGTAGGAGATAGTCAGCCTTACAGAAGTTTTTGGGAGAAAGTCCGAACCATTTTCTACGAGTTATTGGAAAGTGAAACTCGAAATGCCAATCAAATTACGTCGAAAGGGCGAGATATTCGACTAAAATGCACCGAGTTTGGAGGAATGTACAACAACCTCCTAAACATATGCAAAAGCGGCTCGAACGATTTTGATGTTTTCAAGGCGTCCATTGAGCAATTTGAAAAAACAACGCCAACATGCAAAGCTTTTCCGTATATGAAACCGTGACTAAAATTGAAAGACGCTCCAAAATGGAAAGAGCAAACAGAAGGAAGTTCGCAATCTTCCGGTTCAAAGCGTTCGAGAAAACCCCGATGGAACCTCCCAACAATTGGACGGCCGAACACACATCGACATCAACGACGATCCGCTAGATCTTGAAAACGAACAACCTCTTCGTCGTCTCGTTGGAAGAAATAAAGCAAAAAAACGGCTTCAACATCTTCGAACTCTAGTGTTATGGATATGTTTGGCGATAAATTTGATCGATATGTACAACTTCAAGAAATGAAGGGCGAGGTGATGACTAGGATGGAGAAAAAATGATTGAAACACAAACATAATTTCAAGAGGCACAAACGACGATCCAAACAAAAACCGATATGGAAATCTTAAAAATGAAAGCGGACGACCTCGAGGGAGAAGACTTGGAACTTTTCCAAACGATGAAAGAGTCGGTTCGAGCCCAACGTAGGCTTATGGGGTAGTTTATTTTATTTATTGGTTGGAATTTTTATTTTTTTTTAATGTTTTTTTTTTAATTTTTTTAATTTTTTTAATTTTAAGTAATGTAATTTTTATTTTTATTGTTACTTTTTATTATTATTATTATTATTATTATTATTATTGTTATTATTTGTTTCAATTATTGTAGTTTTATTTAATGTAATTTGGTCTTTTAATTTAATAGAAAACTAGTATTAAAAAAATGATTTTAATGTATTTTTGAATTAAATTTAAATAACAAAATGAGGTGGAGTGGTGTGTTTAGTGGTAGGTATCATTTGGTTAGTGGTAGTGAATGTGGTGCTGATGTGCCACCCACCACCATATGTGGTATGTGGTGTGTATAACGGATGGTTTTAGTCTAGCTTTTGAACCAAAAAAACGTGTGACAGCAACTTATTCTAAATTCTTGGCAATTGCTCTCTCTCTTTTTTTACTGCACACACACACACGGAAACAACAAGTTTTCCATCTTCTTTTCATTTTTTTCTGCATAAAAGAAGTGATTCAAAAGGCAATAAACCAACATTGGACATGCTCTAATACATAGGATTATAGTTTGTTTCAAACACTGATCTAAAAGAAATGACTAATATATTAGTGTCACACACACACACGTTATTACACAGTAACCTTTATAACTCTACTGTGTTATTCATCAAGCACAATATTTGTCATCATGACAACATTTATTTGCAAACATAGATAAGTGCTAAAAAAACATCGAAACCCATAGCCCCTAACCAAACACAATATAAGATACAGAGTAGACTAACAACGAAGGTTACCACCTGGTTGAACACCAAATTGCCTGCAATAATCTGTGTAGTACGTGACACGTGAAGACACAGCGGCTGCATTCCCCATTATCACATTCAATCTTATTGACAGCCCTGATTGAAGCTCCGAAACCATTGCCAGAAGCGAAATCCCAATGAGCATGCTCCATCCAGAACCACAGCGCTGTCTTGAAGGAAACCACTTGGTCTGTAGCCACGATATCTGGGTTCCTGAGCAAATCTAATCCAAGGTTCTTTCCGGCTTCACCATAGTTGTAGTTATATGAAAGTTGAATTGCACCTCTTCCGTAGTAGCCTTTATTAGAGATGCACGGATAATCCTTCTGCTTGGTCTTATCGCAGTAGTCTTTTGAACGACCACCTGTCTCTTCTATGTAACAAAAGTCTGTGCATGCATGTATACTATGTTAAAGTATGCGAACAGAAACAATATGTATTACAAAAATGAAAGAACTTGAAGAAAAAGTTTAAAATAGAAGACTTTTTGGTTCTAGTTCGTCTAAAATTGTCTGTTCATACAAAGTACTATAACTTACGACCAGTCTCATGTGTAACATGAGCAAAGAAAGCTGCAATTTCACGCTTGGAGTCGTCGATTGAACCAGATCTACCAAAATGTGGGTAGTCTCTGATGACTCTAAGAAACGTGTCTCGTGTATAAAAACTTCGTCCAGGACAGTTGCTCGCAGACTTCGCAACAATACCATTGAAAAATGCATTGCTCACTATACCAGGGACGTCTGCATTATTATTAGGAGCTGGCAGTGAACATGGGCCTTTTCGACAGTCTTTCCCGCAATATTCTTGTGTGGTGCCACAGTAACCATACTTACTACAACACTCTTGCCGACCACAGTTACAACTCTGGGATGCAACCGGATCAGGGAGGAGGATTCCAGCAAGAAAAAGTCCGGCAAAGAGGAGGGTTGGAAGGGTTGATTTCATTTTTGTTTTTGTGGTGTTTGAATGTAGAAGGTTGAAGAGGGAATTAAATAAGGTGAAAGTCTCCCCCAAAGTCTCCCATTATTTAGTTTTGGAAGGTACCGTGAATATTACGTTGTGGAAATTCCATTACATGTTTACTTGGTGTGTATGTACATACTTTGTGAAATTGAATGTCAAGACTCTAGTCATGATATATAAAGCTTTTTGAAATTCAAAGCATGTGGTTACGACTTAAACATTGCATGGTACATTTGTTATGAATTGTAATTGATCATCTCATATGGGTATGGGTCATGGTTTGATTTCTATGCGAGTTCCCACTTCACAACTTAGGACTTAGGAATTCGTTCTAAACTTTGGCATAGAAAAAGTAGTGGGTGCATGACCCCACGTGGGTACAAAGCCATAATTTACTGAAGAAACTCCCAAATATTTCTATTTCGCTGAAATAACCCCTTTCCACACTCTCAAAGTCGGCATTTTTTGTAACACTTTAGCTTGTCAAAAAATATCTCAAATTAAAAAAATATTTCGTTTATTATTTTCAAAAAATATCAAATTGTAGAAAAAAATATTTTGTTTATTATTCTATGTATAATGCAACCCATTATTGATTTTTTTTTTCTGGATCCGCTATGTGCGTGTGTCCTTTTACCGAGCACTTGGAAGCAAATATGATGATAGTGTATGTAGCACATACATGCACCTTTTACCAAGCACTTGGAAGCAAATTAATTTGGACTCAAACACAAATCAAATCAAATAAAAATGAAACAATTAATAAAGAGTTACAATAAATTAACAAAGATACTGAACATTGGAAATAAGTTTTGGTAAAAATAATTATAATTGTAAAATGTTTAGCTGAAACAAAAACTTGACTTTTCGTGGAACACATGAAAAAATACATAAGAATTCTAATTGTAACTTTTTAGGTATACTTCAAATGATTGTTAAATTTGATCCATTTGCAGGGGGTGCATCCTTTTTACACGGGGCGCACCTCGAAAATTTTGCTATAAAAGGAGCATCAACCTCATTCATTCCTCACTCCATTCCTCTTTCCCCTCTCTAGTTTTTCTTCGATTTTCCTTCATAAAAATCCTAGAAAACTATCTTTTTATATTTTACTTATATATTTAAGTTAGTTTCTCCAATCCGGCCGATCCTGAGGCAATCTTCAAGTTTCGAGTCTCGATTCTACCATACATCAGTGGTATCACGCTAAAAGGGTGAGTTTCAAAGTCCATTTTTCTATCGTTTTATAAAATATAGGGGGGGATACATGCTATAAAACTACTTTATTGATTTTACAAAACATTATTATTTGCAATATATTAAGTACTATTGGGTTATTTAAAGTGTTGTGTCAAATTTTCTATGTATGTATTTAGCCTTTATTAAATGGATTGGGCTGTCCATCCGCATTTATGCTGTTAGGGTTAGACTATATATATTGCATGCATGTATTGTATTAGAGTTAATCATTTTGTGATTCCCTACTTTGTCTTTACAGAAAAGTTCATGTCGAACTCTTCTAAGGCATTGATTATTAATCATTCAGCACAACTTTGATCATTGTTCTTGTTATTTGTTTCACTTTACTGTTTTGAATTTATCGATCTACAAATTATTATTTCATCAACTGGTATCAGAGCAGGAGATTGTGTAACTCATACACAATTCTTCTGTCGAGTTCCATTAGGGTTTTGAGTTTCAGTTGGATCTGTTGTAGCCGTCTTCATCGTTTTCATCGATTATAGACGATAGATCTGGATCTTTGTTTTACCCTAAAATCGAACTTTGTTTTACACATATGATGCTAAACAGATTTTTGTGAATCTACATCATGCAACCAGAAGATCGTCATACTCTTTCCTTCAATCTGTCCAGCAGCATCGGATCTACTACCAGGATCCCAATCCTTTTTCCGCAGGATTATGAGGTCTGGGCACTACACTTCGAAGACTACATTCTTGGTCTTGAAGATCATGACACCTTAATATGGGAAGCCATGACCCAACAAAAATTCACTCACACTGCTACGAGGAGAGTTATTAAGACTCATGCAAGCCGAATATAATGCTATTCTTGTTGATGTTAAAGATGTTCCTCAAGATGAAAATGACAAGCTGATAAGTAATGTCAAGGCGATGAGAATAATCAGGTTCACTCTTCCTCCAGACACGTTTCGTCTGGTAAGTGCTTGTGAAACAGTGAAGGAGATATGGGATCGATTAAAGGAACTCTACTCAAGCGATGCAGATCTGGAACATTTTGTACAAACTTTGCTTCTATCAGGTTTTGGTGCCTTCGTTCAAAATCTAGAAGAGAAACTTGATCAAACATTTAATCGTTTTAATCATCTCTTGAACAGGATGTTAAAACACAAGATCAGGCGTGAATCGATAGAGCAAAAAGTCACGTTTATGAATTGTTTGAGATCAGAGTGGAAAGTTGTAGTGTCCACGGTTAAAGCTCATGAACACTTTAAAAGTTATTCTTTGGCAAAGCTGGTGGGAATTTTGTGGTCCCACAAAGATGAAGTAACGAAAGATGTTAAACTTGTCTCTAGCATGGGATCGTTGGCCCTGGTTGCGAAGGGTAAAAAGGTTGTTGAAGAAGATTTAGAATCTAACATCTCAGATTCTAAATTTACTAAGGAAGAATATGCCATGATGGTTTCTAATCTGAAAAGATTCATCAACAAGAACTTTGGTCGGTTCAAAAGCAGAAATAGAGCAGGAAACTTCAGTTCGAAAAAGTCAAGAGATGAAAGCTTCAAAAATACTCAAAAGGATGAGGAGAAGCAAGAGAAAACGCTGCTAGGTGACTCAAGGTACGACTGTAACTACTGCCATGGCAAGAACCATTTTGCTAAAGAGTGTATGCTTAGAAAGTTAAACGAGAAGAAGGAGGATGAGAAAGACGAAGCCTACTCTCTTCAGAAGATAGAGGATTTAAAGAAAAAGTGTGTTGTAACGCCTGATTCCTAGTACGTATTAAATATTAAATCACTCATTTTTATAGAGCAACTTGACGAGTTGGTAGCCCCAAACTCGTCCAGTGGAGATTTGAAGGGACGCGGGTTTTAAGCAATCTACTCGACGAGTTGGGACACTCAACTCAGCGAGTAGGTCTGCCTGAATGAAACCCTAATTTTGGGGTTTTTCACCCTACTTAAGCATCTTAATCCCCACTTGCTGGCCTCATTTCCAACCTCCAAGTCCCAAACCCTAATCCAAAAAAGCCTAGACCTTTGTGTGAGCTTGTGAGCCATTCTTGAGTAAACTTTGTGTATTTGAAGCTTGTAAAGAAGAGAAGAAGCTTGGAGATTCAGAAGGAAGCTAGTAGATCCAAAAGCAACTTTTCATCTCTTCATTTTCTGGTAATCAAGTCTCAACCTTGCTTAGTAGCTTGTTAGATCTCTTCTTTGTCACTTTATGGGGTTTTTGGTTCAAGAAACTTGGTCCTTGGGAAAGGGACGTCCCAAGTGTTCTACCTTCCAGATCTGGGGTCTAGAAGGGGTTTCATGGCATAAAGGTGCAAACTTTATGACCATGGAAGCCCCATGCAAGCTTTAAGGTGTTATTATGGCCTTTTAAGCCCCAAAAGGCCATGCATGGAAAGAAAGATAGGAGATTTACGTGTTCAAATGATGTCTAAGGCCTAGATCTATGTTAGTATGCTTTGGTTTGGAGTGTTATAACTTTTGGACCAAGAACTATGTCTTAAAGAGCTAGGGTTTGAGTTTAACTCATTAAGAAGGACTAATAGTGGGTAAAGTTGGAAACTTTATCCTTAAAAGGGTATTTCCAGTATGTGGATGAAGTATGGAGTTTGGATCTGAAGAGTAGAGGATTAATCCCTTAAGATGGCCCAAACAGACTGAAGAACTCGTCGAGTACATAGAGGAACTCGACGAGTTGAATCGTGTTGTCCTAATTCTGTACCAAATAGAACTCGACGAGTCAGGGGGATGACTCGGCAAGATGGAGCGTGATTCCAGGATTTTGAGTTATAGAACTCGGCGATTTGAGTTAGTCAGAATGTTGACTTTGACTAGAATGTTGACATTGACCAGGGGTAAAATGGTCATTTTACCCTTAGAAGGATTATCAGTTTTTGACTAAGTGATTATTGTGATAATGATAGTTGGGGAGTCGTTGGAGCAGCCATTAGACATTCCTCACACAAGATTTCAGTAGTGAGCTTGAGAGGTGAGTTTTCCTCCAGTAGGAACGGGTCTAAGGCATCAAGGCCGGCCCATTTATGTATGTTAGTATGTTCCGGATTAAGATACGATGTCGGGCGGGGCCCGATGTTCGTTTATATATTTTCCGGATTTCGATCCGATGTCGGGATGGTACCTAAAGGATGTTAGTTTGCTTGATGTCTTTGTGATTCTTGCATGTGGATGTATTGTATGTTTCCAAACTTCGATCTGATGCCGGGGCGGTTCCCGAGGAATGTTAGTATGTTTCCGGATTCGGTCCGATGCCGGGCGGGGCCCGAGGAATGTTATATGTCTATAGTTAAATGGATATGCTTATGTTATGTGTATTAGTAGTTATTCTCATATGTATGCCGAGCTCTGCTCGATGCCGGGCCGGGCCCGATGCCAGATGCGGTTTGGTGCCGGGTGGGGCCCGATACCGGACAAGCCGATGCCGGGCGGGGCTTCATGTAGCAGGGCGGGCCCCACGATATGTTGATATGCGCTTATGTGATTATGTGATATGTGTATGGTATGTGGTAGTTTTGGGAGACTCACTAAACTTCATGCTTACAGTTTTTAGTTTTGGTTTCAGGTACTTCTGCTAGTAAGGGGAAGAGCTCGGGATGACTGCATGGCACGCACCACTGTTTTTAGCCTGGGAGGATTCACTCTGATGTTTTGACATATGATTTTGATACACTGACATATATTATTATATTTTTTAGATACACCATTTATGACTTTTAAATGATGGATGATATTTATGGTTTTTATTAATGAATTAAAATGAAAT